GTTCTGGAAGCTCTCCCTGGATCCTCCTCATCTCTGAGGAAAGAATTTCTTCTGATATTTGGAATAAAATGAACTGGAAGCCCTCGGTGCTTCCAGCCTGGTCTGGGAACTGCCAGAGGGATGGCACAGGGGTGTCAGGGAGTGCTGGCCCTGTCCTTGTCCCTGTCCCCATCCCTGTGTCCCTGTCCCTGTCCCTGTCACCCACCGCCTCACAGATGGCCTCCAGGTGCAGGGCCTCGAGCTTTTGTGTCATCTCCCGGTGCCGCTGCCGGAACCAACCGTCGAAATTGGGGGACTTGAAGAATCTCCTGTGGGGAGAGGCCAGGAATGGTGGAACTGGGGGGTCCCGGAGCTGGGGGGACCCACAGGGACCATCCCACCCAAGAATCCCATCCTGAGCCCCCCTGAGCACCCTGAGGTGGCCCTGGGGACACAGCAGGACACGGGAACAGGAGCCAGAGCAGCCGGGGCTGCCCCGGGACCCCGGGAATGGCCAAGGAAAGCTTGGAGCAGCCTGGGATGGTGGGATTGGAATGGGATGGGATTGAAGGTCCCTGGATCCCATCCCAAACCATTCTGGGATTTGGGAGGCTCTGAATCCATCCCGAGGGATTTTTCTGGAAGTTGGGGCTGGAAAAGGGAAGGGAGACCCTTCCTGCAGTGCCGAGATTCCCAGGGAAACCCCTGGATCCCAAAATTCCTTCCTGGAGCGGAGCCGGGGCAGGGCTGGAGAGAGGGAATGGAGGGAATTCCCTGGGAAAGGGGAGATGGGGGTGGGATGTTGGGAATTGGGAATTGGGAATTGCTGGCTGGGCTGGAATTGCCAGAGCAGCTGTGGCTGCCCCTGGATCCCTGGCAGTGGCCAAGGCCAGGCTGGAGCCTGGGGCTGGGAGCAGCCTGGGCCAGTGGGAGGTGTCCCTGCCATGGCAGGGGGGCACTGGGGGGGCTCGGGGGTCCCTTCCATCCCAAACCACCCCGGGATTCCACGATTCCTATTTCTGATCCCAGTCTGGGATTATTTCACTCTCTGTGAGCATTTCCCACTCTCCTGGGAATCCAACCCCCAGACCTTTCCTGCTCCCGCTGCACCGAGCGTTTCTCCACCCCACAGAACCAGGGAAAGCCTGGACGAGCTCCCCTGCGGGATCTGCACTCACTTAAAACAAACCCGGGGCTGAATCCACCCTGGATTTGCTGGTCCTGACCCTCCCGAGCTCAGCCAGGGCCGAGTCCTGCTGGTCCCACCCTGCTGGGCTCCAGAGCTGAGCCGGGCTTTGCTGAGCCCAGCCCAGCTGGGCCAGGACCAGGATTCCCTGCAGGGCTCACCTGTAGAGCCCCAGCCAGTCCCCCTTGAGCACACAGGTGAGCTGGGGGCCCGCGTGCTCCAGGCTCTTCATGAAATCCTCCTGGCAGAAAGGGCGGATCTGGGGCGGATTCTGCACGGGGAAATCCTGGTCAATCCCAAATCCAGCTCAAACAATCCCAAAGCCAGCTCAAACAATCCCAAATCCAGCTCAAAAATCCCAATCCCAGCTCAAAAATCCCAAATCCAGCTCAAACAATCCCAAATGCAGCTCAAACAATCCCAAATCCAGCTCAAACAATCCCAAATCCAGCTCAAACAATCCCAAATCCAGCTCAAACAATCCCAAATCCAGCTCAAACAATCCCAAATCCAGCTCAAACAATCCCAAATCCAGCTCAAACAATCCCAAATCCAGCTCAAACAATCCCAAATCCAGCTCAAACAATCCCAAATCCAGCTCAAACAATCCCAAATCCAGCTCAAACAATCCCAAATCCAGCTCAAACAATCCCAAATCCAGCTCAAACAATCCCAAATCCAGCTCAAACAATCCCAAATCCAGCTCAAACAATCCCAAATCCAGCTCAAACAATCCCAAATCCAGCTCAAACAATCCCAAATCCAGCTCAAACAATCCCAAATCCAGCTCAAACAATCCCAAATCCAGCTCAAACAATCCCAAATCCAGCTCAAACAATCCCAAATCCAGCTCAAACAATCCCAAATCCAGCTCAAACAATCCCAAATCCAGCTCAAACAATCCCAAATCCAGCTCAAACAATCCCAAATCCAGCTCAAACAATCCCAAATCCAGCTCAAACAATCCCAAATCCAGCTCAAACAATCCCAAATCCAGCTCAAACAATCCCAAATCCAGCTCAAACAATCCCAAATCCAGCTCAAACAATCCCAAATCCAGCTCAAACAATCCCAAATCCAGCTCAAACAATCCCAAATCCAGCTCAAACAATCCCAAATCCAGCTCAAACAATCCCAAATCCAGCTCAAACAATCCCAAATCCAGCTCAAACAATCCCAAATCCAGCTCAAACAATCCCAAATCCAGCTCAAACAATCCCAAATCCAGCTCAATCCCAAATCCAGCTCACACAATCCCAAATCCAGCTCACACAATCCCAAATCCAGCTCAAACAATCCCAAATCCAGCTCAAACAATCCCAAATCCAGCTCAAACAATCCCAAATCCAGCTCAAACAATCCCAAATCCAGCTCAAACAATCCCAAATCCAGCTCAAACAATCCCAAATCCAGCTCAAACAATCCCAAATCCAGCTCAAACAATCCCAAATCCAGCTCAAACAATCCCAAATCCAGCTCAAACAATCCCAAATCCAGCTCAAACAATCCCAAATCCAGCTCAAACAATCCCAAATCCAGCTCAAACAATCCCAAATCCAGCTCAAACAATCCCAAATCCAGCTCAAACAATCCCAAATCCAGCTCAAACAATCCCAAATCCAGCTCAAACAATCCCAAATCCAGCTCAAACAATCCCAAATCCAGCTCAAACAATCCCAAATCCAGCTCAAACAATCCCAAATCCAGCTCAAACAATCCCAAATCCAGCTCAAACAATCCCAAATCCAGCTCAAACAATCCCAAATCCAGCTCAAACAATCCCAAATCCAGCTCAAACAATCCCAAATCCAGCTCAAACAATCCCAAATCCAGCTCAAACAATCCCAGCTCACACAATCCCAAATCCAGCTCAAACAATCCCAAATCCAGCTCAATCCCAAATCCAGCTCAAACAATCCCAAATCCAGCTCACACAATCCCAAATCCAGCTCAAACAATCCCAAATCCAGCTCAAACAATCCCAGCTCAAACAATCCCAAATCCAGCTCAATCCCAAATCCAGCTCAAACAATCCCAAATCCAGCTCAAAAATCCCAAATCCAGCTCACACAATCCCAAATTTAACTGGGAAAATCTGGGGCTGCATTTCCAGAGGGAAAGGTGCTGCAGGCACGGATCCACCCCGAGGTGCAGCCCCACACGAGGATCCCAGCCAAACCGGGAATATCGTTCCCAAGGGCTCTCTCAACACTTTAAGGACTTTTTAAAGGGTTAAAATCCCTTTTCCTTCCGCGGGGGAGGTTCCCAGGAGCGTTCCCAGCTCCCAGCCCCGCAGGGGAGCAGGGCTGGGAAGTGCAGCCCACCTTCCAGGGGGTGATGGCTCTCTGCAGAGGCATCAGGCTGGCCATGTAGTGCTCCTAGAAGGGGAATAAAAACCACAAACAAAAAGAAAAATGTTCATTCAGGACCCTCTGGTGGTGCCCCCGGCAGCTGGGGCTGCTCCTGGATCCCAGCAGGGCTGGGGGACAGCTGGGACGGGGAAGGTGTCCCGTGGGATGAGGTTAAAGCTCCTTCCCCGGGGCCATTGCAGGGTTCCCTGTCCCCCAGGGCTGTCCCCTGTCCCCCAGAGCTGTTCCCTGTCCCCCAGGGTTGTTCCCTGTCCCGTCTCCTGTCCCCCAGGGCTGTCCCCTGTCCCCCAGGGCTGGCCCCTCTCCCCCAGGGCTGTCCCCTGTCCCCCCGGGCTGTCCCCCGTCCCCCCGGGCCGTTTCCCGGC